ATTAGAGCTCCAGAGCCCCTAACCACCTCTCCCAGGGCTCTGTAGTCCTTCTTTATGTTCTCCAGGCTACTGTTATCTATGTCACTAGCAATGACATGGACCACTAGAAACGGGTAATAGTCCGTGGGGCTTACTAGAGCAGGTAGCTTCTCTGCAACACCCCTGAGCTGAGCCCCTGGTAGGCGACACAGCTCCCTTGAGACTGGGTCAGGCCGAGAGATGGATGTTTCTGTCCCTTTCAAAGTAGAGTCCCCTACTACTACGACTCGCTGATTTTTCCTGGCAGTGACACATCAGCAGCACCAGTAGAGATCTTTAGCAGTGCACCAGCCGGTTGTTTCTGGTGCGAGGGTGTTTTCCTCATCAGCCCCCTGGAAGACAGCAAAGGGGTTCTGGGTGGGGACGATAGATTTAGGAGGAAGCTCCATGCTTTTGACTGTCCTCTTCCTCATTTTTTTTTTTTTTATTGCTGTTTCCCAGCTTTCTGGGTTAACGGCCTCCTTGTTTCCTGCATGAACTACAGGGGACGCTTGAGGCCCCTGCAGTTTGGGCCTGGAGCAAGCATTCCTACTTCCTCTCAGCTTCCCTGACATCTTGCAGCCCATTAACGACACCCTGCAGCTCAGCCACCTGCTGCAGGAGGCCCTCCACCAGGGAGCACCGAGTGCAGCCCTGCCCGTTGTGCCCCCTCCCCTCACAAGACCAGTGCAGGCACTCTACACTCCGAGCTCTGCACTGCAGCCTCCCCTCTCATCGGCTCTGTCTGGGTGCCCACGCTGGCTACCGCCGGGGCAGCCAAAGCAGAACTCCCAGTCCGGGCTCTGGTCATACAGCCAGTGCTCACCATCCCACTCTCCTGCCCGCGCAAACTCCCTCAACCCGCACTGGTCACTCGCGCTCCCTGGGTCAGGTTTTTACCCAGCCAGGGCTGGTGCCGCTCCTCCTGGCTCCGCCCCCTGTGAGTCAGCTGCTCGCTCTCGTCAGCTGATCTGCCGGCTCCTGGGCAGGTCCCGTCGACGACTTGAGGCTCTTTCGGTGGCTCTCGCCGTTCCGAGTGGAGGCTCCTGGACGCTGAGCTTCTCCCCACTCCGGTGTTGAAGGCGTCCTCTCTCGAGATACTCACCTGAGCAATTTATATATATATTATATAATATTAATATATAATAATATACATAACATATAATATATATAATATACATTACCTAATATATATTGCATTTGAGGGGAAAACTCGCATACCTTTGTGCAAGTATCTACAAAAGAAACATGACAGTGTATAAAGTGTAAAAAGTTACATTTCAAAATATAGGATTTAATTTATAAATCTATCTGTATATGTGCATGTATAGTGTGTGGTTCTGATGTAATATTTTTGGGATGTTAATGCCCAAATCTTGTAGATACTTCCGTAAGAATAGCTTACTCAAATAATCTGTGCACAGTACATTCACCTAGAAGACAAAAGCTGGTGAATGTTTGGAGCCCACCTCTGAGATCTTTGGTTACTACTGCAGTGTTTTGCTTGCTGCCTGTTATTTGAACCTAAGTTAAGACATCTAAGTGAATCCAGTGCTAACTGAAGATTTATGACTGGGAAAGGGGTGATGAGAAATTATCTGAGTTTTCAGATCCAACTAACAGGTAAGTATCTGTAGTCAGAGTGCCAGTAATTGGTGAGGACCTGTTGGGATGTAATAACAGCCAAGCTGAAAGATGAAGCATGGAAAAAGCAACCAACAGTTAACTAACAAAGTTTAGTCTCCTAGAACAGCCTATACAAACACCATCTAAAAAAACAGTTTCAGAAATTTGCTGTCTGACCAGAATGATTCAGCCATTTTAGGTACTCTTTCTTCTGTTTATCTTAATTTTCCTGGACAATTTTGATTTCCCTGCTTTACAGTTTATCTCAGAATTACAAAAACATTTATATGGCAACGACATCCAGAGGTCTGTAGTACAACCTCTTTGTTAAAGCAGGGTTTTGCCCAGCCTTATCTTGAAAACCTCCACAGACGCACAAAGCACAGCCTCTTTGGGAAACCTCTTCCAAAGTTTAACTATCCTCAAGAGTGATTTTTTTTTTCTTCTTTCTGTCCCATCAGAATCTTTCCCGATTCACTTTATGACCACTGGCTTTCATTCTCCTGCGAATTGCCTCACTAAAGGGTTTTGCTCTTGCATTTTGTAGGTGGACACCCTTGTAAGTATTGAAGGTTGCTATTAGGTCCCCCTGAAGCCATCTCTTCTGCAGGCTGAACTATTCCAGTTCCCTCAGATTCTCCTTGTAGAAGATGTTCTCCAGACCTACTACCATCCTGGTGGCCTCTGCTGGACTTGATCAAGTTTATCAGTATCTTTCTCATATTGGTGCACCCAAAACTGGACACACTATGCCAGATCTGTTCTAACAAGTGCCAAGTAAAGAGGAACAGCCATGTTCCCCAATGTATTGACCTGTTAATACACAAGATGCTGTTAATTCTTATCAATGACAGGGCAACTGGTGGTTTATGTTTAGTCTATTATCCCCAAGAACTCACAAAGTGTTTTCAACAGACCTGTTTTACAGCTACTTGGTCACATGCCAGCCTGTACTGCTGCAGGAAGTCAAGTTTGTTCCAGCTGCAGGACTTTGTCGAATATTATTCCCACAACCTGTTTAGGTCCCTTCTAACGACAAATCTGTCCTTAGGCATATAGACTGCACTTTGGTGTTGTCCACAAACTTATTTCTGTATGTCCAAGTCACTGACCAAGTTACTAAACAGATCCAAGGGAAAACTGTTGAAGAATTTCATTCTGTCACCAGCCTATGACCCATTAACCAGTACTCTTTCAGACCAACAATCCAGCCAGTATTTCACCCATCCAGTAGTCATCCAGTAGTCATCCAGGCCGTAATGTCCTAATGTGGGGCAAGAATACTGTGGGACATTGTATCAAAAGCCTTGCTACAGCCTAAGTATACAACACCCACAACATTCCTGGCATCCACAAACCCAGTAATTTTATCCATCATTCAAGAAAATTAGGTTGTCTTCTGTGTCTGTCTTCAGTAAGATATGTTCGTCTTCACACATTCAGAAATAGCATGGGTGGACTTGCTCCATGATTCTCTCATTGACCAAAGTAAGGCTATAGTTTCCAAAATTATCTTTGCTGTTTTTAAAGATGGGTGAAATGCAATTCTCCAGTGCTGGGGCACTCCCCTAGTTACCATGATCTTGCAAAGGTAACAGGGATTTGTCTTGCAGTGGTACCAACAGGCTCTCAGCACCCTTGGATGCAATCAATCTAGTCCATGACCTATGGGATCAATGCAGCTCTACCATTCTGAGCAACTACTGGAAATATTAGTCCTCATATTTGCTGTTTGTAAACACTGTATTATGGTCAGCCTTAAACTAGAATAATTTTGTCATACATTTGCCTACTTTGTGCTTTACAACTTCATGAAAACAGCCATTTTGCTGTTTTTCTAGCCATTTCCCTGTTTGTACCATTACTATCAATGTGTTCATCCTGACCAATACCTTTTCACTGTTATCAGTCCTAAAGAAGACAATGAACTTCTTTCACCTGAGATGTTTTTTTTTTTTTTTCTGTCAAGAGGTCTCAGATTCTTGTCCATGATTTTTTTTTTTCCAACTAGCAAATACATGCTTCCAGGAGACAGAGCTTCAATTTACCTGCGTTCACATTATGCTTTTACTTGTATGAAAACTATGAGGACTACGGCATGTAAAGCTCACAGGAAAAAGGAAAAAAAAATCCTTTAAATGTTATTTCTAGTTCCCTGAGTCATTTACTGGACTTCTGTAGTTTGATCACAGCTCACTGACTGCAATGCTAACAAAAAAGTTTCACTTATTTTCTAATAAGAAGTGCTGCAGTTTAGACAAGGCACTCGGATGAACTGGGTTATGATCTTGGATAGTGTAGTCACTGGCTAAGCTTGTATTTCAGAAATATCACTTACAGGCTACCACATTCTTCAATGACTTTGCCAAAAGCATTGGAACTGATATTAGGGTAACAAGGTTTTAAGAAGACCAAACCATTGCCTTGGGTGGCTAAGGGTCACCACAGTCCTGCAGCCCAGAAAGACAATTGTATCTTGGACTGCATCCAAAGAAGTGTGGCCAGCAAGTCAAGGGAGGTGATCCTGCCCCTTTGCTCTTGTGAGACTCCACTTGAGAGTACTGTGTGCAGCTCTGGAGTCCTCAGTACAGGAAAGGCATGGGCCTGTTGGAGAGGGTCCAGAAGAGAACCACAAAAATCATCAGAGGGATAGAGCACCTCTCATGAGGACAGGCTCATATGAGAGAGTTGGAGTTGTTCAGCCCCAGGTTCAACTGAATTTTTAAGTACTTGTCCTTGCTATTCAGCCACTTAGTGTGAAGTAGAACTTGGTGCAGGCTTCCCAAGCTTGATGCACACTCCTTGACCTTTCCACTTTCAGGAAGCCAAAATCTTCATTCATCAGCTGGAGCGTCTGACCCACCCGCAGTTTGTCAGCAAGTTGTCGAAGTTTCTATGGTCACCAGTTAAAAAAATCACCGCTGTGCTTTTGAAGCAAACCTGCCGAAAACTCAGTCACTCAGTCCCCTCCACCAGCCTGGCTCTGCGCACAGGTCCAATGGATTTGCAGGACCGGGCTCCCCGCTCTGCCCCCGGGACTGCCCGCGGCGGTCACTTCTCACCCGACCAGCGGGGGACACCACACGCGCGAGGCAGACCCGATGCTGCAGCTCGGGAGAGGAAGGAGGCGGCCGAAACCGTGCCAGGGTGAGCGCCCCGCGCGCATGCGCCCTTGAGCGCGGCGCCCCCGCTCGGCTACGCTCGGGCCGCGCTCGGCTATTTCCGCCTCTTTGTTTTAAACTCCGGGCCGAGCCTTTTAATTTCATCCCCCCATCACCGCCCCCCCCCCCCCCCCCCCCCTTTTTCCCCGCTGTAATTTCCCAGCGTGGCAGGGCCGCAGGGGCTGGTGTTCCTCCTTGGCCCCCGCCACCGCGCTCAGGTCCTCTGCCTTCTGTCTGTGGCGGCGCCTGGGGAAGGACGGGTCGGGGAGCGGAGGATCGGTGGTCAGCGGCGGGGAGGAAACCCCCCCGCCAGCCCCGAGTAGGCGACCGCGCCCCTCCCCTGTAAGGTCAGTGTTGGGCCGCGGCGTGGCGTGGTGGGGAAGGGGGGACGTGGGGGTTCTCCGGTGGCTGGGCCGGGGTACCGGCCTTCCCCGCCCCGCTGTGGGGCTGCGGGCCGTGCGAGGCCAGGCGAGGGGCTGGGAGGCGGGGCGGCCTTACCCCGCGTTCCTCTGAGGTGTTTGCGGTGGGGGATTGCGAGGGGGCTCCCGGCACGGGGGTGCGGAAGGGTGCGGGGTGGGGGACTGCGGAGGAGCGGGCCTTCTGTCCTCCGTGTGTCTGGGGTTTGGCGGGGGGAGGGCGGGCACACGGTGGTTGAACTTTCCGTGCAAGCACGCTGTATTCTCGGGGAGGGAGGAGGTGTTAGTAAGAGAGGTTGAGTTTTGTGTGGGGTTCTGTGCCCCGAACACCCCTCCCAGGTGAGGGAGTCATACGTGCGCCAGGTTAGCGTCTGTCACTTATCTTTCTCTCTTTATGGACAGCTCCCCTTTTAACCTCCCTCCCCTGCTCCAGCGGGAGGTGTCTCTTGTCTTCCGGGGGAAAGGAAGCCCCGACACCCCCAGTCCGCCCGTTTCTAACCCGAGATGAAGTGCCTCTTGTGTAGAGTGGCACACACTGGGGCAGCTCAGTTGCGGGCAAAGTGGTGCTGCCCGTGGGGACCCGGCGTGTATGGAGCTGTCCCGCATTGTCCCTCAGTACTTCTTCCTATTTAGGGTTGTGTTTGCAAGGCTCCAGACCCCCACAGCTTTGGGAGAAAGGGTCGCTTTGGGGAGGTGGGGTGGTGGTTGATAGTAGTTGAGATACCACTTCCACCAAACTAATTAGTAGAGGGGACATGTAGGAGGTGTGTATGACCTCAGCTGTGCCAGAATGTGGCTTCAGTGCTGTGTATCTGAGTGGCATATGGGATTTTAAGGTCTTGTGGGAAATAAGAAATTAAGTGGTATACATAGGTAAAATATGGAATGCCTGTGGTCTGAGTTGGTTTAAGGATATACACACATGTGCACACACACACATATAATGTATGATATTACAAAATTCTGATGTTTCCTCAGTCACTGAGTTTTGGCGAGTTGTGGTGCTGTCAGATCTGGTCTCTGATGTTGGTCACTTTTAGTCTGTTGGGTATTGCTTCACAGTGCCCTGTGTGGAAAGCTTATCATGTTCTGAAGTTGGTAAGTCTTACAGGAGATTTCATTCTTACGGTTTATGAAGTACTTGGATGTTCTTCTGTTGCTTCACATTTCACATGTCTTGGGTTTGTTTTGTTATTGTTGTTTTGTTTTTTTTTTTTTTTTTTTTTTTGTTTATTTGGCTTTAGTTGTTAAAAAGCTGTCAGTCTCTGTATGCTTTGTGTCAAATCAGTTTAGTAATTTCCTGTCTCTGGGAAACCAGTTCAAGGAAATCTGTTTTATTATCTTAGTATGCGCCGGAATTTTCTTCTGGAAATAGTTTGTTTGGTATCTTTCAAAATAACCTACATAATTGTCTTCCAGAGTTTCAAAGAAGAATTCAGTTTGTGGATGAAAAGGTTTGAGTTGTCCAAGCAAACTATCAAACAAACAAAAACAAAAAACCCCAAAACACACCTGAGGTGAACATTATGTTTAAGGAGCATCCCTTGTATGTATTTTCTGTTGTAAATTAGTTTCTCTTGTGCAGCGTGAACAATTAGGCATATGCTAAATAAGTTGTTAGGAATCGTTTTAGAACTAGGTAGTGTGCTTTTTAAAAATTATTATTGGTTGTTGGGTGGGATACTTACAAATTTTATGTTCATTCCTTTAGTGGCAGGGCCAGTGAGAATCTGAACTGTGATACTTAATCATGTGTCTCATAAAGGTGCTCTGCAGTTCATAAAATTCTTTGATTGATAACCATGTGAGTGCCAATAGAAGCCTTGTACTCTTCCAGTAGCTTTGTATAAGTTGTACTTTTAGATACTTTGCAGTCTCTTTCAGACAGTATGAACCTGTGCAGAACTGAAGTTACTTGGTGAGATCATATACAACGCGTTAGAAAAGGGTCAGGCAGTTTTCTGGAGAGATGCACAGGGGTACTGCAACAGGAAATAAAAAAAAAGGCATTTCATAAACCACTTTTTGAGGACAATCTGTTAGATTTTAAGCTTGACTTTGTGTTTGTAACGACGGTAGCCTAATACTAATGCCTAGAATGGCAGAAATTAATTACGATGCTATGAAAAAGTTCTACTAAGAGACTGTAAAATACAGCTTCTACTTGCTGCAACTGCCGAACCTCCTCTTAATTCTCCTGATTACTGTCATGATTTAGAGAAGTTGATCTCTAAACTTTATATTTGCCATACAGCTAAGCTTTCTTGTCAAGAAAGTTCTTAACATTTCTAAAGCAAAAGTTACGTATTTACTTTAATAGGTTCAATTTTCCTTTTCCCATATGATTGAGTAATCTAGATGGCCTTTTTAGCTTTTGTCAGGTAGTGATCTTCCAGGACTAAAATAATTCCATCTTGAATTCCTGATCTCTCTAGGAAACTCTGTAAGAAGTAGAAGCAGAATTTCCATTGAAGCTCTAAGCTAGATACCGCCTATGAAATGTGTGAGGACATGGTATTTTGAAACTCTGATAATGTTTCACTTCTCAGCTACTGTCTTAGATAATATATTACAAAAAAAGTGTCTTGTATGCTATAAAATAAACATTTCTCCTTTTTTTTTTTTTTTTTTTGGAACTGTTGTTCTCTTAGTGTACATGTGGAAGTAAAGTTGCTAAATGGAAGTTTGTATTGATAAAGGTGTTTGAAGGTGCAATGGATTTAAGACTGTTGGCAGTCCTGAGAGATTAGTGGTTTGAAGTCTAATCTTTTTTTCATTGCTAATAAAGATATTTAATGGTAGTTGAAACTACTGGTTTGCTATGTTAGGTGTGCTGTCATGTTTAAAGGAAATGTAGAGAACACCTGCTGAGGGCAGTTTGATTAGAGTAAGTTAAAAGCCAGACAGAAGCTGTCCGTATCTTTTTAGCTTATCCAGAGCTCTGGCTTGACGTAAACATAGTTCTGTATTCCTTGCACCCCCCTTCTTAAAATGCAAGCTTGCTGTATTAGATTGTAAGTTTACCTGGTATGTGGAAGTCATACATGCAGTAAAAGGAAGGAAGAAAGAAAGGGGTTAATCTGCATTAAAAGTAATCTTTGCTATTGTGATACGTAACATTTTCATTGCTAGCTGAAGACACACTGTACGTGCTTTGTAATTGCTCTAAAAAGCCAAGATAAAACTTGCTGCTCTTACCTGAATTATACTTTCTCAGGTGAATTTTATTGAATATGTGCATCTGTATTTAAATCAATAAACTATGAAAATTAAATACTCAGTGTGGTGAGAACTAGGGAGTTTGAAAGCCTTATTTGCTATGGAAAGTTTGACTGGAGTCTGCTACTGCAGAGACCTCGAGTCTTGCAGTGGTGTTGCAGAGCCAGCACTGTAGAAAAGAATAAAACACCAGTGAGTTGATCAATGATACTGTTTTCCGTTTTTTCTTACTTTATTTTTTTTTAACCTTAATCAGAAAAAGTACTTTACACTACAAACTTCATACTATATGTAGAAACTTCAGGGTCTTTTTATTCCTTTGTCAAACACAGCATGCATTATTCAAAAATAGTGGGTAGTACAAATCATTCAGAAGTAGAGAGAATGACATGAAGTATGGTGAGTTCAAGTGGCTGCTCTCAGTTGTGACTGCCTCTTTTTCAAGTCACAGTTATAAGTTGACAGAGTCAGTGGGGGAAATTGTTGAAAAGGTGGTGGGGAGAATGGAAGGTAATCAAGGTGTGTGTGTGTGTGTTGGCATTACTACAATGCTGGTTAAGATTGCAAGAAAGAAATATGCAAGTATGAAGAAAACAAGGCTTTTTTGTAGTTTCGCTGCTAGTGGAAGAACTTCCTTAAGCTAGCTCTACCATTATTTTCCACCTCTGCAAAGTGGCAAGAAGGAGACTTATTATTATCCTTACATACATATATTTAGGTTGATATTAACAGTCCTTGTGACTGACAAAAACTTAGATCTCTGCATTAAAAAGACTCATGTTTTGACTGCAATAAGGATCCCTCTTGGTTGAAATTGAGGCTCTCCTTATTGCGGAAAAATGTGGTATCTTTGCTTTGTGAACAGTACAAACACGTTTTGATTTAGGGAAGGAAACACTCTGTGTGTCTTGTGTGTGGGCAAAAATGTGCTGTGCTGTATTTGCTTAATTAAGATAGAAAAGCTATTTTTTCAGGTTGCCAGAATGAGTATCATGTTATTTGGTGACTTGCAAATGGCCATCCTGTCAAGTTTTTTACTTTTAGTTAAGAACTTAATTGTCGCTCTCTACATAACCAGTCAGTCAGTGTATGATGCTATCTTTAGTCGATTATTATATAATCATTGTGATGTTGCTGGATATAACTGTGTGAATTATATGTGATGTTATGCTGGAACGAGTCATCTCTGCTGTCTTCTCTTGCAGTGTGCATGTGAACATTTTATTAACGTTTGCAACCATAAGCGTTGCCATTGCAGTGTTTGCTGATTTGTTTTTTTTTTTTTTTTCCCCAGGTAATGTGGTGTGCTGTACAGCTTTTTCTAGTTTGTCATCTGAGAGAACAAGCTGAAAGGTACAGTACAGCTGGCTAACTTATATATTCTTTATTTATGAATAATTGACATTTCTTGTGTCTGAACTATTAGTTTGGGTGCACAGATTGGCATACTGAAGCCATTGGTCAGTTGATTACTTAGTTGAAGGACATGGCCAAATTTGTTTTAACTTACTAAACAAGATGCTTATTATAACAAAACTCACTGTACTGAGCAGCGGCAATCAGTAGAATTTACTTGAGGAATAGATTTTTTTTTTTTTTTTTTTTAGCATAGTGGCATGCATCATTCATTCATAGTGACTTTTCCAAAAAATTATTTGCACCAAGAGGCATTTGGAATTTAAAGTTTTGTCTTGGGACTAATGTCTGGGATCTTACATTAACTCCTGTGTTTCAGATAATTGTGTTACGTACTGTTTCGTTATGATAGTAACTGTGGATTTTTTTATTTTTTTTTTTTCCTAAAATATGAAGTGTGTTCTAGACACAGGGACTTTGATGTTGATTTGAGGATTCAAATTAGGCAAGAGGTAAGGGAATTTTTAATGTGCTTGCTTAAGTACATAATTATGCTCACTGCTGAAAATGCCCGTTTCTAAAACAAATTATTTATATTTAAAACTTTAACTTTTGTTAAACTGGTATATGTTAGAGATGCTTTGAATATTATTTCCTCACTTTTAAGGGTGTGCTAACACACTGTAATCAAATCAGTCTGCTTAATGCTTGAAATGCTTTTCTTTCCATCATTGAATTATTCCTTCCTGTCAAGGTGTGGACCCTGAACCAGTGTATAGTGTTTGCCTAGTCAGTTCTGTCTGCACTTATAAAAGCCTCCCAGTTGCACTGCTGCAGTGATTCCCTCAGTCTTTCTTGCTTTAGCATTATACTAATTGGTTGTTTACTGTTTTTCAAGCTTTACTGAATTTTTTTTAGGATCAGTTGCTTGGATTTATTTGTTGAATGAAATAAGTAACTAAACTGCTTTTTCCTGTAGCAGTTTCCTAAGACTGATTGCAAAATTGCCTCGCAGCTTAAATCAATTCAAGCTTTAGGATCACGCGTTTTATACTGGGTTGCCATAAGACTATGATGAATTCACAGGTGTTTAGTTAAAATCTTGGTAAAAGAAAGTTGTTTGATTTATGCTTATACTGCTCTCATGCAAATTGCAAAGAGATGCCTAATTTTTGTATTTTTTTCCCAGGAAAAACCATGTATGCATCTTTCTTCCCAACCCTCTTCTCATAATGTGTTTGGACTTGCTAAATTGTCATTATCTTGCCTTGAATCTGTACTTGTAAACTCTGAAGTGTGTTGCTACAAAGGGTGTCTATTTCTGCAGTGACATATAAAATTTAGTCTGTATGAAAATACTGTGTCAGTAACTTATTTGTCCTTGTTAATAATAACATTATGCTTGGTGACACCAGAGCAAATACTTTATTTGCATACTAATAATCTTATACTTCTGTTTCTTGACTGGCTAGAATGAGATAGAAATACTTCTCACAAGATTAGGCCATTCTGTAACATTTTCAGAAAAGATATTTATGTTCATAAAATGCTTTATTCTGGACCAGACAAAAAGACTTCTGGGTAGCTAGTGGAGCTAATTTTCTTCAGTTCACCTTCTTGCGTGTCAGATTCTTTCAAGATTTGACAGAAGTTACCAGGAGCAGTCTGTGCATATTGATCCATATGGTGTTAAGTGAAAGTTGGCATTTGAAGGTCTAATTTTATTAATATGTAGGTGTAAAAATCTCTGTATTAGTTGCAGTCATTTTTAATGCAACTTTCTAGGTATAATCTTAGGTGCTAACACCAGAAATTGTTTATCAAGAATATGTTTGCTGTGCACTGTAATAGTGTCCACTGGGCTTAAACCACAGCAAATAATTACTCAGATTATTATCATCTGAGTATGATGTAGCTCATGGGTTGTCTGGTTATGATGTTATGACTAAAAGAGGCTTGAATTTGAATGAAGAGTTAGATGCAGACAGGAGAATGCCTTGGCTTGTTTAATTTTATTTTTTTTTTTTTCCACTAAAGGTATTTTGCCCTGTCCTATTTTATTTTTCTATTGAAATTAACAGTGCAATGGGACACAAATAAGTGTAGAACTAACTTGATATATAAGCCATGCTGCGGTAAGTTATGAAGACAGGCTGAGAAAGTTGGGGCTGTTCAGCCTGGAGAAGAGAAGGCTGCATAGAGACCTCATAGCAGCCTTCCAGTATCTGAAGGGGGCCTACAAGGATGATGGAGAGGGACTCTTCATCAGGGAAATGGGTTTAAACTGAATCGGGGGAAATTCAGGTTAGGTAAAAGGAAGAAGCTCTTTACTGTGAGAGTAGTGAGGCACTGGAACAGGTTGCCCAAAGAAGAAGAACACTGCCCATCTCTGGCAGTGTTCAAGGCCAGGCTGGACAGGGCCTTGGGTGATATGGTCTAGTGTGAGGTGTTCCTGCCCGTGGCAGGGGGTTGGAACTAGGTGATCTTAAGGTCCTTTCCAGTCCAAACCATTCTATGATTCTATAATTTTTGCTATTTGTCTTTGGGAATGGAAAATACATTCTGTCCTCATATTTCAATTTCTCTTCCATTGCTTCACCAAATAGAATCGTAGAATAGTTACGGTTGGAAAGAACCTTAAGATTATCTAGTTCCAACGCCCCTGCCATGGGCAGGGACACCTCCCATTAAACCATGTCACCCAAGGCTCTTTCCAACCTAGTCTTGAACACTGCCAGGGATGGAGCATTCACAGCTTCCCTGGGCAACCCATTCCAGTGCCTCACCACCCTTACAGTAAAGAACTTCTTCCTTATATCCAATCTAAATGGGTCAGATGACTTGGCTAGTGGAACTTTCGGTAGACTTCTAAGGCCACCTCTCTGTCATGTCATTTATTTTCCAGTCACAAACATGAGTTGACATTGTACGGAGTTTCTGGAGGTGATTGGAAGGTTTCATGGAGATTTGTTTTATCTTTAGATATGAAAATACAGAGTATAAGCATAAGTAAAAAGACTCCAGATTTCTCTTCTGTAGCCTTTTAGATCTGATGTTACTGTAAGAGATATTCACTAGAAGAGTGAAGACAAGAGAAAAATGAGCTGTTTTTTCTTCTCCTTGAGATTCTGTAGCTACTTACTGCTTCCCATGATAAGTATAACCTTTTCTATGAGTTAGTCATACATTTTCACATTCTGCAGACATTGACAATTTTAGCATGCAAATGGGGGTGGGGGGGAGAATTTCAGCTCTCTTCCCAGCTTTAATCCAAAACCAAAGGAATAAACCTTTTCCCCTGGAAAATACATTATAAGCATTTGAAAAAGTATGAAAAGATCTACACATGGTACATACTGAGACAAAAGGATTTCTTTGTTCTTGTCACACAAACTTCTAATGATGTGTGTTTCTTGTATTTTACTAATTTGTGTTCTAAAGAATGGAGGGAGAGAGTGTCCATGAAGATGTCATCTATTTAAACAACTGGTATATTTTTATTAATGTTTTTAAATTATTTTGATTGTCCCTTATGGGACAGTTCAGTCTCCAAAAGCAATTCTTGGTGAACTGCAAAGAGGAACCAAATTGAAGCCTATATAGATACTTCTTGCAGGCTGCAGTAGTTAACATCTTGCACTGACAGACTGTTTCTTCCCTTTTTACTGTACATGTCACACATCCATCTAGTCTTTGAAATTTGTTATAGGAAGAAATAAGGGTCTATGAAAGTGATTTTGCTTTTAAAAATTCTTGGGAGGAGACTTACGGTATACCTGGAATACAATTATTATGAGACATAGTAAAGGTACTGTTTATTTATTTACTTACTTATTTCTTGCGCAGACTGTCTGACCCTGTATAGACTGAACCTTTTCAGAGAGTGATTTCTTCCTACAGTTACTGAATGCTTTGAATCAATGTGTAGCTGAAGAGTTCTATTGGTAGCTGCCACCTCTTTGAATGCTGATTATCAATTCTGTGATAATTCTGTAAGTTCAGTGATGTTTTTAATGATGGATACCTTCTCATATAGAAGGAATTAAAGATTGATATGAAAAGCTTTAGCTTGTAGTTGTCTCACCAAAGCTTTCTTTGTAATTTGCTAATTTCTGATCTGGTGTGGATTAGAAAGGTTCTGCAGTAGATCACAGAATCACTATGTGCATGTGAAATGCTGTTGTGAATGCCAGACTCCTCACAGCATAAAAACCATGAGGTAGTTACTTGTCTGCTTTCATACTAGTTTTCCACAAAGATGTTTCTTAAAAAAAACCAAACATTTTTATTGTCTGTTACTTTGTTTCATCTAGCTATTAGTGCTGTCTTTGTTTGCTTGAAGTTGGAAAGAGCTAGCTGTTCAACTACTGGTTTTCTGTGTCAACTTCTCTTTAAAGACAATCTTCTCTTACTTATAAAAGCTGACATCTGTGCCTGGTTTTAAGGGCTTCTGAAGAGTTTTGTGCAAAGATCTAATCATAGAGCGTGTCTTGAGCTCGTTTATGGACTAGAGCTAAACTATCCCAGAGGCTGTAGAGTACCTTTATTGTGACCGAATAAATAGAAGCGACTTTAGCTTCTGTACTGTGCAGAGGTGTGTGTTCTATACTTCTGACTCTAGAGACAGACTTGTGCATGTGACAAAATGACTATATGCGGGGCTGGAAAGGAAAACCAGCTGGAATATGTGGCTTGTTAGTGCTGTAGCAAGTACTAACTAAGTTGTACGAAGAAAAACTGGCAATCACTTATTCGGAGATTTGGTTAAGATTTTGGTATTTGGGAATTTAGAAGATATTTTCATGTTTACTCCTTATTAAATTAAAAATCTTCTGAGCAAACGAAGGGAAATATAGACTATCATTTGGGAGGATCTTACTAATATATGCTCTAATAACAGCACTTGAGGGTTATGGCTGACGGGCAAGTTTGTTGACCTAGCTTTCATTCCACCTGCCTTTTTCCTGAAGAGTTTCCTCCTGGTCTTCTACACTGAGACTGTACTGGCATAAAGCTGCGGTCATCAGTGGTTTGTGCAAATATTCGATGCTGTTAAAATAAGCACCTGATATGTAAAGGATATTTTGCTTCAATGTGCCTTCTCCAACGGGGGGGGGGGGGGGGGGGGGGGGGGGGGGGGGGGGGGGGGGGGGGTGGGGGGGGGGTCAGTTGCAGCCTGTAATTTCTAAACCAGCAGAAATAAGGCTGTCAAAGACCTTACACAAGTGAAACTTGTAAGAAACAAGTGAGATTATTTTGTTGCTTTAATAATAGAGACCTTTCAGCTCCTCCTTACAGCTGAGGAGATTTTCTCCATTTTAAATAGAATGGCAATAGTCAAGTTAAATGTCACAGCCGTGATTGGGTCACAGTGAAGAATTCAGTTTTATAAGGGCTGAATCCTCTCATGCTATTGGTTTCCAATAGATTTTTCTGTCTGGAGTCCTCCTTGTTCTTTAAACCAGTGTCATGTTGCAGTGTTAGGATTGATGGACAAGATGGTGATACCGTA